TTCCGACTTCAAACAACCATGACCCCACTGTATGTCTTATTCCACAACTTCCACAGTAATCATTTCACCTTTTCTTTACCAATGTGTCTGTCTGTCTCTTATACATCTGTGAATCACCCTTCTGTTCCCCTCTCAAATTTTCTCACCTTGATGATCCTATCTCTGCGAAGCCCGAAGTCAGCTAAATGGCTAATAATAAATATTTAAAACGATTGCCAGTTGAAATAATAATAATTTATTTGTTTCAACTAAGGATGGTCATTATTTTAAATAATTTAGATTTGTCTTTTTAAAAGAATTATTTATAGTCCAAAACCAAGTGAGACTGAGAACTAATGTTCGGAATGGCGCAAATATTATTGTTTAATTTTGATAAGATTATAGGTGTTAACTGTAAGTTGACAGAAACTAATTTGGTTTAATTTTATTAAACTTCCAACGGCCGCCGAGTTTGGGAGATCTTGAAATTAAATTAATTCAAAAATAATAAATGACACCTCAACAAAAAAATACTTAGCTTTTATATTTTTTGAAATTGAAACAAATTTGACCACTGTTCAAGTGCGGTATTGAACTTACGTTTTATTTCCTTTAGAAATAAACTCGATCAAAATATCTGAAAAATATGGTAAAATATATTGAAAAAATCGCTATTTTTGATTGATTGCTGAAAAATAGCTGAAGATTATCAAAGCGACAAGTTTTTCTGCATGGTTATGGATTTAATTTTGGCCCCACAGAGGTCAATTTAAATTTAATTAAAAGATATACTTCGATTGGTTTGATACATTTTACAAACCCGTTAGCTAATAACGGAATCAGAATATGTATTATTATGAATTATTTGCACTGCATTACCGAAATATTATCATCTTATCCAATAGCAAAAAATATATCATCAGTTATTTCTCTTTTGCGTGAACCTTTCTAAAAATAGCCAGTCTTTTGATGAAAAGAATCAGCTGAATAATTAGATCATAATACGTAGCGATAATCGCACGTGTGTATAAGAAAATATAAATGAAAATAAGAATGACACTTCCTAAATTTTGTCAGACTTGGTGCGCTGTTTCAGGATGTTTCCCATTGATAGTACACGATTATAAGTAGAGTAAGCATTTGCAAAGGGTTATTTAAATTTTAAAATTTGAAAGCTCAGAATGAAAACATGATTTTTCGACGTTAGAGCAAAGTCTTCTCACAGAGGAACGTGAGCTATGCCTGGTATAGTGTAACTCCTAAAGCAACATATTGATTTTCCAGGAAAAATAACAATCAATATTTTTTCATTTTTATTCACCTTGTCAATTCCCTAGAGTAAGCCTCATCTAACTGGCAGAACATCTTCAGGTATATTTTGAAGTCTTTTTTGCTGTTTCTATTTTCATCCTTAGCCACTTGATCCTCCTTTGAGGGCATATTAATGATTGACGTAGTTATGGGAAATTTTTTCCCTACAATAATATTTCAATTGGAGGTTGCATACCAATTTTGCTATAAATCGCCACTCACAAATTCATGAACGAAGCTATTAACCTTTTAGCTTGACACCTTATTTATACTGAACGATATATCTTTAGGTTTTTTTGATTTTGAAGCGTTTGCCACAGATGCCTGTGAAAAAGCACTACTTTTGTTTTGGGTTTTGAAGGTAATTTTCAATTCTCTAACTTTTGAGAGTAATCGTTTTTGAAGCTGGCTTTCATTCAATGACTGTCGCAAGAATTTGCCTTTTATTCACACCCTTTCTTTTTTATTAATATAATATTTTCGAAAGGATATTTTGTGCACTTTAATACTACCGCAAACGTTTCAAAAAGTACGCTATTGCTTCTGTCAACTGACTGACCGTTGATGTAACTTCCTGAACGACACTCTTCTTCAGGTTTTCGGATGACATTCGACTCTTCGTTATCTTATATCTGAAATAGTTGGCGGATGGATGACGAACTTGAATCATTCATTATCAACAAACCTAAGCTTTACTGTAGTCGCGAGGTAGTTTCGAAATAACTGGCAATTATTAGCTTAAATTCTTTATCACAATGAAATTCACTAATCCATTTGGGTGGTAAAATATTCATAATGTTAGAAACCATTCTTAAGACCATAACAAGTATATAAATCTTGGCTATGAGAAGAGACAGATGGTTCTGTTCTGTGGGTGAACTAAAGTTGATCGCTGAATGAACGTAACCAAACTAGATCAAAAAAGATATAAAGTTCATTTCGATGTCATATAACCTTTATAATGCCTGATTTATTATTTATTAACCCATAGTATCTACGACCATTGGCTTTAATATACTAAATGGGACATTAAATCCTAAAAGAAACGGGTTTAATTTAGTAATATTTAATAATTTTGACCAGGAAAAAGGAATAAGTAATAATAATGAAATTCTGAAATTTTCGTTAATCTAAGTAATGATAATTTAGTCTATAAATTTCATTCTTGCCTCTAATAATGTCAATTAATTAAGCGTTTTCCCAAAAAGTTTAATGGTTTATCACAACATTTTGCTAATCTTTCTGGAATTCGTATCTTTGTAACGATAACCGAAAATTTTGTTCATTTTAATTAAAACAAACTCTAGTTAGTGGTGTAATATCGCATAGTGGATGTTGTGGATAGCCAAAGAGAAGACCCATTCACATCACAGAATTGGTTTAATTATGAAAATTGAAAAATTAAAACAGTAAACCTTACGAAGTGGAAAAGTTGGGGTATACACACCCACACATTGAAATAGTTGGTTAGGATAAGGATGTCTATTTGAAGAACTAGGAGAAAAGTACATGCTAACAGATAGTGACGAGGCTGCGCTAGGGGTAAAATGATTTCGCGTTTAGGTCTTATGTTTACAATAATTTGTTCAACGTTCTGATCCCAATTAGCTTAATATTTTTCTCACAAATAGGTGGCTGGTGATGCCATTGGGACCAATGAGGTGTGATGAACAATCATCTAGTTGTAAGTTATTTGAGTAAATATTTTTCTTTCTTTCAGAAAAAGGAGTAAAGCGAAATTGATGTTTCGATATGTGTAAGCATTTGTAGTAAAAAATAAAGGTTAATTATTTCCGTCAATAAACCTCATGTTTAAATTTAGAATTTTTAAATGTGTAACACTGTTTTGGGGGGGGGGGATTTTAAAACCAATTTGAGAGAGCCCATATTTCGCTCTTTTCTGTAAATTCTGGTTTTTCAAAAATTTTATAATTTTATTGGTGACGTTTTAGGCCCTAAACGTTTCGTCAGTCGTTATATTGTACTAAAATTGTACGATTTGGAGGGAGCAGAACTAATTCACATTTACTAATTTCTCAAACAGACCTCCAACTGAATTAAACGCCTTGCAGTTTATTTAATTTCAAACAAAAATAAAACTTCCTTCAACAAATTAATAATTAAGTGACTGGTGGCTTTTTAGGGAGTCATTCTTTCGGTTTCATTACTTTCAGTTCATTAATTTCTCAGTTCCACGTCATTGAATTTAGGACGCGCGAATTCAATAAGAACTATTAAGACAAAAATAATGAGTCTGCTTATGAGTCTGCTTTTATTTTCTAGTTTTTTTTTAATTTAATTAGTTTTAGCATTCTGTTACATCATCTTCAAACTGGTGAAGAGTGACAATACGCATTGTCGTTTCCAGTTTGAACAAAAAATAATTAAATTAAGTATATTAATTGCCCATCATTTTCACATTGAAAAGCATTCTATCGAAATCTCAGGGTAATCAGGAATCGTATATTAAGTAATTTTTAACCCCATGGGTATTTATTAAGAACATACAAATATATTTCAATTGTTGCAATAAACTGATATTATCAAGCCGAACAATCATCAATGCCTCACTCTCTCTACCTTTAACAGCTGAACTCGATCATCCTGGCGCGTCCTTTTCCTGCAAACCAAACGAAATAGCTAATATTTCAGAAACAGTATGTCATTTTAGGCCCAGAATTTGTTCATCAATCGGAATTCTGCTAATCTGTAAAACTAATCCACTATGACAGTAGGCAAGAAGTTTTGATAGCTTGAATTTCGGTTGGACAAGTCGCTTAGGGGAAGTTTATTCATTTAATTTATAAATGAGCCATTGGCCAATCATTTGGAATAAATTATCTTATTATTTGTTCTAACAGTAACAGGAGGCAGGTTGATCTAGACATTTTCATTTGCCAAGTGATTACTACTTATAGTTTAACATGTTTGTCTTTTAATCCCAAAAATAAGATCACGCAAAGATGGGATAGCCGCAAACCATTTCTCAGTGCACCACAATTATGAAGAATTTATTGCTATTTACATCAAAATACAAGTTGGCATTCACTTTGTTCTAAGTTGAATGATGTGATGTTTCATATAAAAGCATTGGAGATAATTTTTCTCTACATCATTGTTTAATAGCGCTCCCGGTGCACTCTTTGGCAAAGTATTCAGAAGACTTTCTTCGTGCAGCTTCCTGCGTTCATACTGAGTAGTTCAATGTGCTTACCCAGCATTTAAAATTTGCCGGAATTCAATTGTGATAAAAAATACAGGACGTTTATTGCACTGAGAAAATATTTTCCATGCATTGCAGATTATATAATGATGTTAATCAAGAGAAATAATATTTGCATAAAATTGCGCATTGAATTGAAGACTTAAAGAACCCATTCAAATCCTCCCATGTTCTTTCATTTCTAAGGGACATAATTATTTGATATATTACAAAGATTCGAGACCCAATTTTTCTTCTATCATTGTCAACACAAATGATTGAACCACGTTGAATCTGCTGAAAGTTTTATATCCTTTAGCGTCTATGCCATGCAAATTGACAAGTAATTGCTTGAAATCAGTTTTATACTAAAAATTCCAAACAAAATAAGTTTCATTAGCTAAATTTTATTAAATGCGGGTATCTTTTCATTTCCTTAAATGTCAAAATCTACTTAAAATCAGTTAAATTTAAGTCAAAAACAAAGAAGGAAATTAAAGTCAAAGTGTTAATGAATAAAAATGTGCGTCGCCGTAGAGTGCTGATCTTCATTTCTCCCAAGCACAAAAATTTGTTTCTTGAGCCATCGAACAAGTCGATTTGAGAGAAATCCCGCACTTCCCACGGCAGCACATCCGCATCCCTCAGAGAGAGCAGAACCTGTTCCACAACATAAATTTCCAACAGGAGCCAATGAATGTCCAGCACATGCTCCTCCTGTGTGGTTGCAACCGTTAAGACTATTTGCTGAACACAAATTAACATCTACTCCTCGATTTGAGGAAAAATATGGGGAAGAGTCGTTTCCAGCAGCACCGCCGCTTATACTACCACTTATACCACCTCCAGTTCGGTTGGCTTTATTTAGAACACTTGCTGAACGCAAAAGGACGTGAAGCCGGCTTTCAAGATCTGGAGGCTCCCACTCAACACACTTTTGCAAACGTTTGACAACATTTCCGGACAACTTTAAAAATAAAATGAGTAGACTTCATTGATTATGATTTTAAAGTTATTTGGACAACACATTGATAAAATAATTAATTCTCAATTATAATTAATTATAAACTTCTTATATAATTATTATTAGTTATAATTTGATTATAGTTTAAATAATATTAGCACAAATCGAAAGTGTTGTGGGCCTTTAAAAGATTAAAGCTAAACTGTACTCCATCTGATAAGGCAGTTATAATTCAAACCAAAGAATAGGAAATAGGGCCCTCTACTTCAAATACCTGATAAGTTTTAAATTAAATTAAGAGTGTAATAAATCAGTTTTTCCCATATATTATCTTATTCAGCTAATTTTTCTTAATAACTTGCTTTAAATTTCAATTATTAGTTTTAGTTATAGTAACTTTACCAAAGGAAATCAGCATTTCCTTGAGCTTTAGACAATCCTTTCAAAAAGCTACATATATCCAACTGTTAAATCGAATTGGATCGATAACAAGATTAGGAGCATTGAGAGTTCCACTCTAAATGATTAATTCGTGATGACTCACCTGCTTTTGTTTTCCACTCAGGATAGGTACCCACATTGTAATTAGCTGAAAATGTAAGAAATAAATTAGCTAGTATATTATTTGTTTGGGGTGTGCGATAGACTTACCTCCACGTGGTGCACCCTGGGCAACGTATACTCATACGGCAAAAAAGTCTATTAAAAGGCAGTTGACTTCTGACTTCAAACTACCACGACCCCCCTGGTTGTCATATTCGACCCCTTTCACTGTACTCACCTTACCTTTTTCTCTACCTTTGTGTCTGTCTGCCTCTTTTACATCTGTGAATCGCTCTTCTCTTCCCCACCCCTCGACTTTCTGCTACTTTGATGAACCTTCCCTCTGTGAAGCCCGAAGTCAGCTAAAGGGCTAATGATAAGTGTCATAAAGCCTGCCATTTGAAATAAATAAATAAATAAATAT